GCCCACCTCGCAGGGCTGTTGCGAGAAGGGGGTAATCAGAATCTGTGACTCTGGAAGGGGTGTGTGTGTCCCTGGGGGCCTGCCAGAGGTCAGGAAACTTAGTGGGAAATCCTTTTTTCTCAATATGCAGGATATATATATATATATATATATATATATATATATATATATTGGTGGAACTGGGGATTGAACTTAGGCCTTTGTGCTTGCCAGGGAAGTGCTTATTCCACTAAACCATCTCCCTGGCCCCCTACGCAGGGTATATTGTGGGGTACGATGCTAAAATTGTATGACTTTATAGGATGAAATAGGCATTTTGGCAGGAATTTTCAGGATGGGCACTCTTTGGGGAGTGCCCCTGGCTCCCCAGGGTACACGTTCACACCACTTCTGCAAAAGGTTGGAATTGCACTGACCATGCCACTGGTTGGCCTGTGGGCAGCACCCACCCACGTCCCACTCCAGAAGTACCCCCAGAGGTGCACTAGGCTCCACCTCTCCGTGACAGGCTTGCCTTGTTCCCCTCCCACGGTCTGTCCTTCCCCAGCCGCATGTGGCTGCCCTACAGCTCCAAGCCAGTGGCAGGGCCTTGCCTTCCTCCCGTCCCTGTGTGGACGGCCAATGACCATGTTGTAACCAATGTCAAGTGGCCCCCATTTCTTATCTCCCCTGCGCTGTTGTGCTCTGCTCCTAATTGACCTGTTAAACACTGTTGCATTGTCCCTAAAGGCTTGTACTGTGTTGTTGGAAAACCAGGCTTCTGGCCTGTGTTGGATGTAGTGAGCCTGCGCTTTGGAACCTCTGCTCACTTTGCCTCTCTGACCTTTTGTCTTTTTCTCAGAGGTGTGTGTCCCTAGACAGCCTCCCCTTAGGGCCTTCAAGGGGGCCGAGGGCTGGGTGCACTGTGGCTGTGATGGTGCTCGTGCTGGTTTTCATTGGGAAGGCTGTTTGCGGGTTGTGTGGGGGGGTGTGTTTTGAGGAGCACTGGTGCTGCTGTCCGTGGCCGTAAGTGAATAAGAAGCACCACCCTTCTTTCTGCCGAGGTTTTGTTTCCAGTAGCCAATGAGATGTGTAGGACACAAGCTGCATGTGCTAGGGGGGGGGGGGGCGCCCAGGGTAAATGGGGTGCGGCGGCTTTCTCCCTGCTCCGTCCCTGCTGCCTCCCTGTCCTTCCCTTTCTTCCTGGGCTGCTGCTTCCTGAACTGGCTGGGCCACTCACATTGGGGCCACAGAATTGGGGGCATCGTCTGGGAGATGCCCTGCTAGTGGGGTATGTGCTCCTGGTTTGCTTGGTTAGGGAGGAACCAAGTAGGGGGTGTCTTAGGGAGGGTGGGGCTTAGGGTGGCATCTTCAGGGGGGCTAAGACCTCACACCCCCTTTCCTTTCTGTCCTTGGCCAGCCATCAAGTGCAGGGCTCTGACTCGCCTTCTGCCACCTACTGTCCTCGTGGTGTGGGCCCATTTAATTGATGCACAAACTAAGAAACAGGGACACTGGGTGTCAGGGCCAGGACGTCACAGCCTTGCACGAGTAGATGGGCTGACTTCTGCAACCCCCTCCTCCTTCCCCCCATTGTGCCCATCCCCACTGGGTGCCCAGCAACCCCTGTAGAGGGAATGCAGGGTCACAAGCGGGGCACAGCTCTCCAGGATTCTGGTCAGACATGGAGAGTGTGCTCCGGCTCCGGGGGGTCTCGGGTCATTCGTGCATGGCTGCCACATGACGATCATCATGGGGAGTTTGCTGCTGCACAGCTTCACTCCTTCTTTGTCCCCTTCCCCTCCCTTCAGCCTTTCTTTTGGCCTCTATAGATTCTCTCCCATTCTGCCCCTCCCTCGCCTTCCCAGGCTCCCGTCCCTTGTGCCCTGTCCCACGCTCTGTCCTCCATTCTGCTCCCTACTCACCCTTTGGGCTTCTCACACAAGAGATGCCTCTGTGGCTGGACTTGTGTGTTGGACTTACTTCACTTGCAATTACGCTCGTGGTGTGCATCCATTTATGCGATAGCTGGAATGTATAAAGGACTAAACAAAAATAGACTCCTCCAAGTTAATGACCAGTCCAAAATGAATAGACACTTCTCAGATGAAGAAATAGAAACAGCAAGTACATGCAGAGTCCGCCAAAAACGTGCACGCACGCGGCAATTTGTGGCACTAACGCCTAGAAGCCAGCCGCCACCACCTGGGCTCCTTCTGTAACTGTGGAGGCCAAAGGTGGCTTGGATTAATCTCATGATGTTTTGGAAAATTTAGTATTAAGTCATTTATGCAAGCTTTTCTTTCCTTGGTGTATACATCTTTGGGTGGACTCTGTATGTGAAATATCACCAGTCATTCCAAAACCTAGAGCAACCCTGAGATTCTATGTCATGCCAGAAAGAATGGTGGTCATCAAGAAATCGATCAATAACAAGGACAGGGGAGCTATGGAGGAAAAAGGGAACCTTTCTCCATGGTTGGTGTGCATGCAGACTGCTGCAGTCACCATGGAAATTGGGGTGGAGATGCCTCAAAGGAAAACCTGAGGTTCCATTCGACCCAGGTCTTGCCCTTCTTGGTATCTTCCTGAAAGGGGTAAAATTATGCTGCAGGGATTACTGCATGGCCAGGCGTGGCAGCACAGTTCATACTAGCTAAGTCTTGGAGAGCCCAGATGCCCACAGGCAGGGGACTGGGTACCAGAACGTAGTGCTTATGCTGCGGAGTCTGTCCTACAGAAGGAAGGGGGCAGTGGAGACAGCTGTGGAGGGAGATGGATGCACCTCGGGCCACTTCTGATGGGGCTGCTATACCTTTCTGGATCTTGTCTCGGGGCTACCTTCCCTTCCTGTGCTGCTCTGCCCTTCAATGCCTCGGGGTTCCCTCCTCCAGCTGTGACTCCCCAGCCTCCGTGGTCCGGCCCTTGTGCCTGTGTGGCCTGGGTCCTGTCCACCTGGCCTCCTCCAGCTGAAGCCCCAGCTTGTACTGTCCTGTCTGGCTGCTGCTCCTCTGTCCTACCACACCTGCTGCTAGACGGGTGGCATAGGTTCCCAGCTGTCCCCTCCCTCGGGCTTGGTGGTGAGGCGGTGCTGGGGCTTGCACAGTGTGCTCTTCAGTGTGTGTGCCCCGTCGAGCCCCGTCCTTTGCAGCCTGCAGAGAGCATGCTGGTCCCTCTTCCTGCTCCCAGGGGCCCACAGTAGGGAGAAGACATGGCTTTCTTCCTGGGGGCCTGGAGTCTATGGGTCCATCCATGCCTGTGCCTGGATGGGCCTTGAGCTCCTCGCAGGAGAGGGCCTGGTTGCCCAGGGCCGGGGCTGTCTTGGGACCTGGTGTCCCTGTGGGATGGGCAGGGAGGCCATGGCTCAGCTGCATGTGAATACCCTCCAAGGCCTGTGCTCCCCTGACCCCTCCCACCCTGCTTCTGCACTAGTAGGTGCCAAACAGTTGCCTCCAATGCAGAGGGCTGTGGGGAAGGGTTGGCAGGGAGGGGGGAGGGCTACCTGACCGATGTCCTTCCCTTCCCTTCCTGTAAGGGGAAAGGGTGTATTTTCTTGGCAAAGGCTCCCCCAAAGCCCCAGGGTCTCTGCCTGTGTTGAGGCCTCACCCAGGGCACAGGCAGCTGCTGAGGTCACACCTGGTACTGATTTGATTTGGAGATTTGTATCCAAAATGAAGCTGCGTTTGGGATGAAGTGTTCCCTTGCTGATTTGGCCTAGGGTTTTGTATTATGAGGCGTCAGGCCAGTTCCTAACCACAGAGATGACTTGGCCATATCCATGCCCTCCCCTGTGGCTTCTGGAGCCTTTGCCTTTAGGCCCAAAAAGTCTGTTCACACCATTGGTGACATCGGCATCAGCTTATGAGACACAAGCCTGGGCTTGGGTGCAGCCATGGGGTGGGTGCCCAACAAACCTCGGCTAGAGGTGATTGGATGCCAGGCCTTGATTCTTGTCTACCCCACGCCAGTGCAGGGCTCCTGCCTGGGGCAGGGGCTCCAAGCGTCTGGCCCTTCTGGGTTCTGGCCCTGGGGACACACGCGTCAGCTAGGTCCCCTTGAGCAGGTGCTCCACCATCCCAATCTTTGCTTTTGCCACCAGTAGAAGTGGGAGTCACTGTCACTGGTGATGGAGCCATGCACTGGCTGTGAGAATCAAGGCCTGGCTTCTAGGCTGCCCTGGGCCCTTAACTGACTGTGTGGCCCTGGGCCACTTCTTTTACCTGTACCTTGGAGGAAGTCACACCAACTTGGTCTGATCATTGTGAAGTTCAGTAAGATTGTTCCTGTGAAAACAAATGCTTGTTACCTGGCATGGGGTGCTCTCAGCCCTGCCTTCCCGGGAGCTCCTTGCTGCTGTGGAGCTGGCACAGCAGCTGGCCACCCGTGGGCACTGGGCAAAGATGCACTGTGTTCCCTGAAAGTGCAGCAACTGTTAACGCTGGACAGCGTCAAAGGCTTGGGAGCAGCACTCAGCCTGCAGCAGGGAGGTGCAGGGATGGGGAAAGGCTTTGTATTGAAATCTCAAGAGTCAGCAGGTTTTGAAGGTGGAAAGGAGGACCCAGCCAGACATGGCGGTGCATGCCTGTAGGCCCACCACTCTGGGTGGCTGAGACAGGAAGAACCCATGTTGGAGCCCAACCTGGGTCATTAAGTGAGTGAGTGAGACCTTGTCTCAAAATGAAAATGGAAAAAAGGTCTGGGTGTGAAGGCACTGGGATGTATCCCCAGGACCCAGAGAGGCAGCAGAGGGGGAATCGGCCACCCAGAGGAGGACACAGCAAAAATTTTAGGTCGTGGGTGAGGTGCAAGGGCTGCAAGGTTTTCAGAGCAGGGCTGAAGGCTGTGTGCTGCCCCCACCCCCTGCCATGGCTACTGGAAACCCAGGTGGCCATGGTGTCCCCCTCCCCTGAGAGGGCTGTGCTGTCCTCTCCCCCCTCCTGGCCTGCTTGTCTGCATGAGAACTCATGTCAGCCTGTGGGGCTGGGGGCAGGTGGGTTCATCTGCAACTGTGTCTCTCTCAGCCTTCACAGCCACGGGGACACCCTGCGCACATTCCCACAGGACAGGCTGGACCCAAAGATTCTGGACCAGGCCTCCCCTTGAGTACAGAGGCGCCCTCTGACTGATGGACTGCGCCGATCCGGGGGTCAGCCACCTCCCCCTGAATGCTGAGACTTGGGGGAGCTGCAGAACCTGCACTGCCCGCCTCTGTGGAGTAGGCGGGGACACCTTCCTCCAGGCACAGGGCTGCTCTGAGGCCCTGGACACGGTTCCGAAGCACCAGGCTGGGCTCAGCCTCTCATGCTGTCAATAAATGTTTCTTGTCTTAACCAATGCAGTGATGATGTGCTACTAATCTGAGGAGGGGATTTGGGTGTTCTCTCTGGTGGGTTTTCCTTTTGCAGTGTAACGGGAGATGGGTAGGGAGCAGGCTCAGGGCCAAGAAGATATCCATGCCCCACTGGATGGGCACTCAAGGGTGTTCAACCAGGCTACCTTGTCTGGTGCCCTTCACCATGCTTCAGAAAGAAGCGCAGGGCAGGATGTCAACGGGGAGGGCTTTGGAGAAGGGCTCACCATTTTTCCTGGAGCCCAGAAAGGATGCCCATCAAGGGTCATGAGACCTCCTCCTCCCGTGTTTCCCAGGGTCATGGCTACAGGGTCAGCATGGCTGAGAAAAACCAGCCTGAGGCCCTGGCCAGCACTTATTCCTGAGCAGGTCTCTGGGTTGCAGAGATAAGGCCTCAGCCCACGCTGCTTGGTCTGTGGGGGTGCCAGCAGGTCTGGGGAGGCAAGCCTCCCACCCCTGTGACTGACAGGGCAGTCACAGCACGTGGCAGCACCAGTGAAGGTAGTGGGTACTAAGGAAGCTGATGAGCAGATGACAGGAGGAGCTGACCACAGCTGCCACGATGACCATCAGCAACACAGTGGACACCAGGGCCACTGCAACCAGGGCTGTCGTCATGTTCATTGCTGGCACAATGGCCACCATGACCATCACCAACACGGCAGCCATCATGGCCATCAACCCCACAGCGGCTACCATGACCATCGACACCACAGCGCTCACCATGGCCATCGATACCACAGCGCCCACCATGGCCATCGATACCACAGCGCTCACCATGGCCATCGATACCACAGCGCTCACCATGGCCATCAACACCACAGTGCCCACCATGGCCATCGATACCACAGTGCCCACCATGGCCATCGATACCACAGCGCTCACCATGGCCATCAACACCACAGTGCCCACCATGGCCATCGGCACCACAGCGCTCACCATGGCCATCAACACCACAGCGCTCACCATGGCCATCAACACCACAGCGCCCACCATGGCCATCGGCACCACAGTGCCCACCATGGCCATCAACACCACAGTGCCCACCATGGCCATCGATACCACAGTGCCCACCATGGCCATCGGCACCACAGCGCCCACCATGGCCATCGGCACCACAGCAGCCACCATGATCATCAACAACACAGCCCTCACCAGGCCCACTCTACCACCTCTCGCTGTACCTTCCTTTCCTTTTCTATTTTCTTTCACAATCCTCTTAGCTTTTCTTTCCTCCCCCCTTTTGGCCTCCTCACCACTCCCCTCCCTTCCTTCTCTTTCTGGCTTCCCCTTTGCCCCTTCCCCACCTTATAGTGAGGGGCCTCACGGTCTCCAAAGGCGAATCCATCACTAAGTGCAAAGGATCAAGCACAGATGCCTTGTTAAACAGAATGACCCTGAGGGCCACGGTGGTGCCCTGGCCCAGAGACTTACCCACAGCCCCTACAAGAGACTGAAGATGGACGGCGCAGAGGAACAGTGCACACTGCAGGGAGAAGACCAGGAGATGGCCTCGGGCTGGGCCCGATCTGGGTGAGTCCATGACCAGCTGAGGCCAGCAGAGTCCTCCTGATGGTGAGAGAGACTCCAGGGAAGCTGGGCCCTCCAGACCGAGTCCCTCTGGTCCAGAGCAGAGACACTAGCTCCATCCTCAGACACGCCGAAGTCACCCACCTGGGTTGCCTTCCTGGTGCTCCAGCCCTGGGCTTAAGCTCCAGGCCTTGAAGCTGAGACATCCAGAATGACTCTCCCACTTGATGTCACAGCGCCAGGACCCCAGCTCCAGCCTCTGGCAAGCAAGACCCGGACATTCAGAATGACAACTCTCTTGATGTTCTAGAGCCCAGACCCTGACTGGCATTTGACAAAGCTAAGGCAGCCAGAAACAAGCACCTCCTTGATCCTCCAGGCCCAGCTGTCAGTCGAGTGCAATCTAGAAACAGGAAGCTCTGTGATGTCTAAAGCAGGGACTAAAGATGCAGGCCCTGATGCTCAGACGGCAGGCAGAAGAATTGCCATCATGCGCTAGAGCTGACGCCCATCTCCAGCCTCCTGTGAAGCTCAGGTATGAAAAGGAGGGTCCTGGCTGTTCTAGGCTGAGACGACTTCCACATCTTGTGATGGTTGGGCTTGCAGCACGATGGAGCAGCCCAATGTTCTAGAGCCAGCTGCATACCCAGCTTGCAGTGAAACTCCTATGTAGGAACACGAGCTCTTTGATGTTTGAGAGGCAGAACTCCTGCTCCAACCTCTAGTGAAGCTCGGGCAACCAGAGATCCTGCTTGATTTTCAGGACTCCAGTTCCAGCCTTTGGGGTTCAGATGCTTAGAAAGATGGACAGCTTTGTTCTAGAGCTGCTGTGCCTGAGGCTGACGCCCAGAAAGAGGGGATTCCTTGATGTTCTAGAGCTGGGATTTCCCATCCAGCCTCCAGTGAGACTCTGATGTCTAGAAAGATGGACCTGCTTGATGTGCTAGAGACTTTAGCTCTCAGCCTTGAAGCTCAGATGACCAGAAAAGGGAATCTGATGTCTGGAGTTGGCCCCTGAGGCTCGGATGTCCAGGAGAGGACTCCTTGATGTTTCTAGAGCCAGGCTTGCATCTTCAGCTTGCAGCCGAGTGAGGACTGACTCTAAGCTTGCAGTGAAGCTTCCAGGAGGTCTGTCTTTCTGAACCTCCTCAGTGTTCTAGAGTCCAAGACTCCAGCTCCAGCCTCTGATAAAAACTCAAATGTTCCAAAATAAGTACTTTCTTGACATTGCAGAGCTGGATTTCTAACTTCAGCTCTAATGAAGCTCAGATATCTAGAAAAGGAGACATCCTTCATTTTCTGGAGCTTTAGTTGTAGATGACATGTAGGTGTTAGAGAGCAGCTTGACAGAGAGCTGGAGTTCTGAGACTGAGTAGAAAGGGCCTTCCTCATTGCTTTAAGGCTAAGATTGGGTCTCCAGCCACCAGAGAAGCTCAGAGCTCAGACCGAGTGACCTCCTTTTATGTTCTCTACCTGAGCTACCCAGCTCTAGTTTCTCATAGCCAGAAGTGGTGAGAAAACCTAGAGACTGTGAGCTTCTGGGTTGCCTGGGCAGGGTTGGGTGTGGCCAGAGTTTGCCTTGAGACTGCCTGAGGCAGAGAGCACTGCTCTTCCACATGGCCTGTGGCATTCAGAAGCAGCGACATTAAGGTGGACATGGGTTCCAGCTGCAGGAGGGTCGTGGAGAGGAGGCGCCTGATAGGAGGCGGCTACGTAATAGGAAGAGGATGACCCAAATGGTGATGGAAATGGTGCTCTGAACAGTGTTCACCTGAGTGCATAATGCCACAGGAAGGCTTCTCCGTTGTGATGGACTCGGCGTTGGCCACATTGCAGCCTTGACCCGTGGGGCCGCCAAGTTGGCTGGACCCTGGCATGTAACCCAAGCTAGTTTCTCAGCTTAGCTCCTCTCCCAGTGGAAGATGTGAAATGTTGGCCTGGCGTGAATTGTAGCCCTTGCATCTGGTATGAACTGGTTGCCTCCTTCCAGCCATGGAAGTTCATTGAAGTTGGAACTGTGGACAGAGCCAAGCCACTGAGATGACTGTGAAGGTAGCCTAAACAGCAAAGGAGAACGCCTATGTGGAGGCACGGACAGCAGCAGCCCAAGCGGAGCTGCCTGCAGGGCTGGAGCTTTGCCCTGTGCACCTAGATGGTGTCTCTTGTCTTCAGGAACTTGGCTAATTCCAGTTTGTCCACGGAGCCAAGAGAGACAGAACTAAGGCCTCAAACACCAACTTGCTCAGAAACAATAAGAACATCACGGGTAGATGAAAAGTGCTTGAAAATGTGGACACTGGGAAGAGAAGATCTTGAATGTACTGTGGAAGCACGAACTCTGGACAGGTCTAGACCAGGGCCTCCTGAGAAGCTGGTTTTTGTTTTCATTTTGGTACTGGACACTGAACCCCGGGCCTTGTGAGTGCTAGGCAAGTGCCCACCCCCGAGCTACATATCTGGCTGTGAGAGTCTGAGCTTGTCAGAAATGCTGTTCTTACATGGTTTCCATAATATACCCCAGAAAATGACTTGTATTCAGCTGGAGTCTTCAGGAAAGGGGGCAGCTAGAGGGAATTGTTAAAGAACATGGCCTAACGTTGCCAATGTCATTTTGGTGATTTTCCTGGAAAATCACTGCAATTTGGAACTACACAGAACTTCTTTTTATGCGGAACTGGAGCTCGAGACATGGAATGGAGTGAAGGAGAAATGTCGTCGGCGGGGACTGCTGCCCTCCACCCCTCACTCTTGGCCAAGTTTTTAGGCGCTTTCCAAGAATCAGTGATTACTAGAACACTCGTGGCTAGTTTCCTGCAAGGCCTCACAGCAGTCAGAAGTCTGAGGCAGAAAAGATGAGCCCCACTTGTGAGGCTTGTGAAGAAACTGCAGTGTGGGATCCACAAGGTTATGGGCCGCAGGGGCAGGGCTCAGAAGCAGAACTCAGTCCCGTACGTGAGGACAAGATGAACTGAGGCCGCAGCCTAAGCCGGCAACTCCAGATGGTGCTCACAAAGGATTCGGTGCCCGTCCCAGCTCCAGTTCAGTGCTGATTCTCCTCTGAGACTCACTTTCCCCATGACGTGCTTCGTCCTGCACCCAGCTGGAGCAGTGTTCCCCTATGGTGTGGAGTCTCCTGCCTGTACTGCTCACCTGGACCCAGGGTCCACAGGATTTGGGGCCACGTGATGGGCCCCAGGTGGCAGCTTCATGAGAGGCAGCCATTGGGAAAAATGGACCCCAGGCAGGGAGGCAGGTGAGGCCCAAGAGGCAAACCACGGCTTTCTTCTGCAGCGGGAGGAGCTGAGCTATGCTCTAGGCTTTCCTGACACTGCGCTCTCGACCCACGGTGCAGCCTGGGAATGGAGATGCTCAGGACTGCGATTTTGCTCCAATAACTGTAATCTTTCCCTCTTATCTTCACTGTGGCTGCTGATGAA